CGACGCGTGTGACTGGTATCCGCGCCCATTAGCTTTGCAAACTAAACCCATTAACCCGAGCTTAATAACTATCACTGGTCCAGCTTGCTCGACCACTAACCCCCATCTAACGTATAAATTGCACTGATATACACATTCTCTGATTTTGGTTAGCCCGACCGACCATTAAACTTTAGTTGTCTTTATTTTCAAACATCTTTATTCCTTAATGCCACTTGTCACTAATTCACCAATTCACTAATTCACTAATTCAATTCTTGCAATTGTCGAATTGTATCCATTTCAGAGCACTATCTCAATTTTAGTTTCTCTTATTTTCTTCTTATTATTCTTATTATCTGAATTTTAATTAGTTACAATTTACAAATAACTAATAAAAGGATAATCACCGACTCAAATATTATTTTACTAACAAAATATTATTGAATATTTTAAGTAATATATATATGTAACTTATACTCGATTAGTAAAATTTGATTAATTTTGTAGATATTTACTTGTTAATAATTATTGATTTTCTACTCATAATTAGTTATTTTTTACTAATTGATGAGGCAAACAGTCAGCCATGATTTTACTAATAATTCGTTATTTTTAACTATAATTCAGATTTAGAGAGAAGTTTTTTCTAATTTTTTGAAATTTTTTCTTATAATTTCTTATCCGTTTGCAAAAATAGCTAGAAACTACTTTCTATAAAGAATATTAATTTTTTTTTTTATTTTAAATAGTTTAATTCTTGACGAACAATCAGAAAATAATGTCTTAAAAATTATTTAGTAAATAATTTTATACTTGTAAACTCTAAAAATGATTTAATCTTAGTAGATTTGCTTTGACAATTTTTACAATTAATTGAATTTAAAAAAAGTTTTTAGTTTTTTTTAACAATTTTTATACAATTTTTTTTTTAAATTACTTGAATTTTAGAATTCACATATATGTAATTGAAAAATTTTAAAAATAATCAAAATTTCATAAAATTGAATTGCAAACAAGTGGATTTCAAAAAAAATTGTAGGTTAACTTTTATTTCGTTAAATTGTTGAATTTTTTAAAGAACTTTCTCAAAAATTATTTAAAATCATTGATTTAGAGGTAAATTTTTGTTTGAAAAATTCTAAAAAAAATAATTGAACTGAAACCATGAAAATAATAAATTTTGGATAAGTTTCAGTAGCAAACTTTATAGATTTAATATTATCGAATTTCAAAGGGTAAGAAATTTGAAGTTTTTAAAAATTTCAATTTGAATTTAATAATTTTTCTTAATTATTTGATAATTTTACAAAAAAAAAAAAAAAAAAATTCCAAAAACAATTTAATTTTATTAGAGTTGCGTCTTTAATTTTCCTTAATTTTTTAATTTCAAAAAGTTTCAAAATTTGAAGTTTAGAAAATTTGAATTTTAACAAATTTAAAGTTTTTGAATAATTTTTGGTGAAAATTTTTTGAAATCAAGTTTTTATTATATATTTAATTAAGAAATCTTTGAATAAGAGAAATTTTGTAAAGTTGAATTGTAAACAAGTGGATTTCAGAAATATTTTAAATGAACTTTTTTTTCCTTATAAATAATTGAATTTTTAAAGAACTTTCTCAAAAAATTATTTAAAATCATTGATTTAGAGAAGAATTTTATTTAGAAATAGAAATTCTAGAAAATAATGGAATTAAAATTTGGAAAATAATTTTGGAGATGTTACTGTAGGAATTTTAATAGATCATCGAATTCCAAAGGGGGGGGGTTTGAAATTTGAAGTTTTTGAAAATTTTAATTTCTATTCAAAAATAATGATGATTAAAAATATTTAGCTAAAAACAATTTTTGATGTTTCGAATTTGTTTTCAATTGAAGTTATTGAGAAGTGAATAATTTTTAATTTTTAATATAGACACATTTTTTGTGTGTCAAATAATTTTTGGAGTGAATGAGAAAAATATTGTTTAGGTTTAGAGTCAGGGAAACAGTTAAAATTCTGCTTAGAAATCAAATTTCTGTCCCAAACCTGATGTAACAATAAAAATTGGAATAAAAATCAGTTTCAGGGAATTGAATTTTGGATTTGAATTGTTTGGTAAAAATGAGTTTTTTGGGTGAATGATAAAATTTGAAGTGCGATCTTGAACTTGGAGGGAAAATCTTGTTAAGGAGAGTGTACATATATATATATTCAGAGTCGCAGACCATATCATGCGGCGGTTAAACGCATGGTAATTAACGTCAAAATGATATTACTTAACACGCTAGTTTCCCCGAGACACGAGAGTGTGTGTACATAAACATATCCGTGGCGACGCATTCAGTTAGTTAGATATTTGAAGACAGTGCGGGATTTACTAAGAAGGAAGTACAGCCGTGATTAATTGCAAACGTGTGCTGCTGCCCTTGTTTGCTCTTAAATAGAGAGAACTCGTCCCTTTTTGGGGATGAACTTCATTCATTTCTTTCAACACGCACAAAAAGTCATCATCTCTTTTTCTTTCTTTCTTATCGCCAATACAAAAAAAAAATAAAATACAATGCAAATTTATTGTTTTACGAACAATACAAAATTACATATACAAAGTTAAAAAAGTTTTACTTAAATTCAGAGGGCTTTACCTATAAAAGTAAAAATTAGCAATTAGTAAAATTCTGTACTAAAATAAGCAGAAATTTGAAACTTGAATAAAATTGAATTAAAGTTGCAGTAAAATTTACAATTGAATTAAAATTATAGTAAAATTGAATGGTAACTATGATAGGGAAATAAAAAAGCGAATGAATAACAGAAAATATCAAATAACAAAAAAATGAACAGCGAAGAAATAATAAAATATAAAAAGCATAAAAAATACCAAAAAATACCAAATAACAAGAAAATAAACAACGAAGAAATAATAAAAAATAAGAAACAACAAAGAAATAAAAAATAAAAACAACAAAAAATGAGAAATATAAGAATAACTAATAGAAAAAATAATTAAACTTAAAAATTGGTGTTAAGTGCCTACTAATTTTAATTATAGTGGACTAATGAATAATTTTTTTAATACTAAAAAACGAGAGAGAAGGAAACAGAAGTATTGTCCAATCAAAAATAGAAACAACAAAGAGAAATCAAAGAATAACTAATAATAATGGAAAAAATAATAAAATAAAAATTTGTTTCGTGGACTCTTGAATAATTTTTTTAGCATTAAAAATTGCGATAGAGGAAAAAAAAGTATTGAGTAATATTCTTATAATATTGATAAAATTATTATGCATTTACTTGGGTAATTTATAAATATATGCATCTAATAAATTTTTTTCCACTTTTCTCTCTCTCTCTTGCTCTCGTGTGATAAATAGCTGGCAGATTAGGTTATCTTTGATTTGACTTACATCAGTGCCATTCATATGTTAACGTCTGAGAGTAGATAAGTCTTCCCACGATTGAATCGTAATAGAAGACGAATCCATTGTTGGATTTGTGCTTCTGGGAGAATGAACAGCTAACAAGGTGTAAGGGTATTTCTCTCATTTATCGTTTTCTTTTAAGCTATCATATACACTATATCTTTCACCGCAGCGAATAAATATATACATTAACGTCGATATATCGCAAAATCAAATCGCAAAATTTTTAACCTTTCACATTGTTTCTGCTTCCTTACAGTCGTTTAGTTTATAAGTCAACATTTTTTTTTCTATTTATTTAATACTGTATATTTATTAATAATCTATATTGATAATTATTTACTTATTTTTAATTATTATTTACTACTCTATTAATAATGATTAATTATTACTAATATTATTAGTTAATGAAAAATATAATATTATTAATTAATAAAAAATATAATATTATTGATAATTAAAAATAAGTGTAATTATTAAACTATTATTATTAATACAGTATTATTACTTAATTGCATTTATCGTAATTTTAATATTCGCATATTAATTCTAGTTATTAGTCCACACACAAACTGTATATATATATAATTATCATTATCGCCTCACCACTTGGCTTGCAAATTTAATATTAAAAACGATATTTTTCTAATAATTTTCTCTTTTAAAAATGTGTAAGACTTTTGAGTAAATAGTTACTTTATTAATTAGAAAAGTAATCAATTGATTAAAAATAATTTTTTATTTTTCTCCCAAGTGAATGAAAGTTTAGAGTATAAAAGTTTAGAAAGAAGTTGAATTTTTATGCAAATTCTTTTACTTAACTTTTTTCTACGTTTAGTAACAGTTACTTTACTGACTACTTACTCTTCTACTTTCATTGATATTTTTGGAATAAATAATTATAATAACTTTATTAATTATAATAAAAAAATATATATTACATTAATTATATTAATGTATCTACTAATTATAATAATTAATTTATAATAAAATACATATTTGGAAATAAAAATATAAAAATTATAAAGAATATAAAACGAAAGAGTAAAAAAAAATAATTTTCCATTGTTAATAATAGCAAAAGATAATAAAAAAGTATTATTAAGTATTAAAAAGTATTAATTAAAATAGTAAAAGAATAATTGGGCAATAATTAAATAATTACAGAAAAATTATAATAATATTAATAAAAACAAAATTATAAATTTTCATATCATAATTTATTAATTATCAATTTATTAATTATCAATTTATTAATTATCAATTTATTAATTATTAATTAATATTAAAATTATTACAATAATAGTAAAATATAGTGGATAAAATATTAAATATTAATAATGAAGGAGAAAAAAATTGTCTCGTGGAGATTTGTTGGATAGAAAAAGTTCGAATAGCAAAAGAAAAAAGCAAGAAAAAAAGAAAGAAAGAAAGGGAAAGTGGTAAAGAAAGTTTTAATATGTAAAAAGTGATATTGTGATATGATAAAGATTTGCCAGTCAAGTTGTGGGTTAATTTTAATTTAAATTTTATTGAAATATGCATGATACACGTGACACACACAAAACACATTGTACACAGCACCCTAACATGACCTCTCGGTCTGGTCTGACAGATCGTTGCCTGTCCCCAGGAGGCACACACCATTCATGAACCAACCGGACTACCGACTCTATGAGCTGAACAAGAGGTTACAGCAACGCACCGAGGTGAGTAAACTCAATAAATTTATTATTCATTTTACATTCTCCTGTGCTCTAATATCTCGCATAATTCCAAAATTAATAATTGATGCTCATTCCGTTTTATTTTCGAAATCTTTTTATTTATTTATTTACTTTTATTTTTTTATTCATTTATTCATTTATTTACTATTTTTTATTTCAATCTTTATTTATTGCTTCCTCATAAAGGAAGCTTTGTATTTTATAAATTTATTTACATAAGGTAACGGGACTAAATTACCAAAAATAAATACTAAACGATTATTAGTCCTGTTATCAAATAAATATTTACTTGAATCAAATAATTTCTATTTGATGCAAATAATTGTTTCCTTGAGTCAAATAATTTTTATTTGATTCAATTAAATGGTATTTACTTCAAGTAAAGAAATTATTGCTTCAAACTGGCTTGGTTCAATTTATTGGTTATTTGAATAAAATAAATTTTTTTTCAGTGTAGTCAAAAAATTATTAGTAAAAAAAATACTGAAATAGTAGAAAATAACTAATTATTAGTCAAAAAATTACTAATTGTTAGTTAAAAAAAACTAATTATTAGTAAAAAAAATTACTAAATGTTAGTTAAATATAACTAATTCATAGTCAAAAAATTACTAATTGTTAGTAGAAAATAACTAATTATTATGTATAGTAAAAAATTACTAATTGTTAGTAGAAAATTACTAATTATTAGTAAAAAAATGACTAATTGTTAGCATCAAAATAACTAATTAATTGTAAATAATTAACTACAATAATAGTCAAAATAATTAAATTAATTACCAACAATTTCAATTATTTTGACTATAATTTTACTATTAAAGTTTAATTAATTTTTAACAAAAAAAAAAAAGAATAAATAACTTTCGGTTGAAAAATAATTTCTAACAGGATAATAATTTTTATTGTAATAGAAGTAGAATTAAATTTTAGTAAAAATTTAGTAATTTTTAGTAGAAAAATAATTATCAGTGGACAAATAACTATAGATTTCAATAGAATAATTTTTAACAGAATAATAATTATTATAATAAAAATAAAATAAAACTTTAGTAAAAATTTAACTAATTTTTAGTGGAGAAATAAATAATTATAATAATTTAAAAAAATTTTTAAACACATGTCATATTAACTTGAAATTTGAAAAGAATTAGTTCAAGTTCCTATCAAATTTGTTTGATTTAAAGATTTAAACAAAAATTGAGATAAAAATTATTTGATTCAAGTAAATATTTGTTTGATAATAATTCGTTATTTGAATCGTATCAATTTTTTTCAGTTTATTTTATCAAATTTATTTCTATGAAATAATTGTTATTTAATTCAATTTAAACTTATTTACGTCAAATTCGAAAATAGTTAAAAATATCTACAATTTATTTGATTTAAACAAAAAAATTAGTTGATTCAAGTAATTTATTTATTTGATAACAATCAAGTAATCAGTTATTAGAATCAAATAATTCTTTTTTTATTGTCAATATTATTATTATTTATTTATTTAACATTATTATTATTTATTTATTTAAAATTATTAGTATTTATTTATTGAAAAGAAGGAAAAAATTATATTGTTATAATATAATTATTGTTTTTGAATATTATTAGTAATAACAATATTATTTTCATTATTCCTTTAATTATTTCCATTATTATTATTTATTTATTTATTTATTTTAATCATAAATATTAATTCTCATTATCATAAAATTCGCTGATTTCTTGAAAAAAAAAAAATATCAATGGCAGTACAATTGGCAAAGTTCAGGGTTGATGTTTATGTATACAAGTGTAAATATATATATATAGAAGCGTAATAAATATGCAGTCGAACCTGTTTAAGTGAGCGTGCAAAAGGGACTACCTACTCAAACAGACATCTCACTTATCCGGTAATACAACCATTGAAGATTTCTGATATAGAATATTGTTGGGAACTTGACAATATTTTCAGTCATTAAGCTCACGCCCCATCCCCCTTTCGCCCCCTTTTCAGGTTTGACTGCAGTCAAAATAAATAATTTAAATAAGTACTATGTCAATAGAATTATATGGTTAAATTATGAATTATATTTAGATTTACTGAATATTATGGTAAAACATAAGTAATTTTTGGTGAAAATCTTATTTGAATTTTTAGCTTCAGGCAATTAGTAAAAAATAGTATATTGTGCAACAAGTACAGAAAGAAGCTGTTTTCCGACGAGTGCAAAGTTTGCTGTCCCGAGCGAAGCGAGGGCAGCAATTTGCACGAAGTTGGAAAATCTTCTTTCGTACGTGTTGCACACAGTACTTTGTGCAACACCTTTTGGTTTTGATAAAAAAAGCTGTTTGGAAACGCTAGTTGACGCCAACATACGTACTGTTTAGCAGGGTTTGGAACGTATGTTACCGCACGTAATATTCGTGGTTTTTACGCGTATATTACTGTAAAAAACAGGTATTCTACAAATAGAAAACAAATACCTATGTACATCACCAAAAAAACCCAAAAGTTTAAGAACTTTGCCGCACTAGTGCAGCAAAGTAAGCACTTTGCCGCACTAGTGCAGCAAAGTAAGCTCTTTGCCGCACTAGTGCAGCAAAGTACTGTTTTGCGCCTACTTTACAGGCATGCAAAGTATTACTTTCCTTACAGGTGTTGCACAAAAATATTTTTTTATTTTAGAACATGGCATAATTTTAATTGCTCTTGAATTAGCAAATTTCGGTAATAAATTAGTACAATTAACTATAAAGAAAATTTTACAAATAAATCAGTAGAAATAAATATTTATTACTAAAATTTACTAATTTCAAAGCAAAAAGTCAAATTAGTAAACATTTTTTCTAATTAAAATTTAAAGAGAAAGCGGAATAAAAATTTTATTTAAAAAATACGGAATTTTTTGTGAAGAGATAATTTTTAGCAAAGTGATAATTTTTATTATAAATAAGAAACAGAATAAAGTTTTAGTAAAAAATAAATCACTTTTCAATAAGAAATAAAAGTTTAGTAAAAAAACTAATTGTCAGTAAAAAAAATAAGTTTTAGTAGAAAAATAACTAATATTCAATTAGAAAAATAATTTCTAGTAGAATTATAAATAAATTCTTAATGGAAATCTAGTTTAAAAAATTATTTAAAAATTCTAATTAAAAACTAAAATTTAATAATTATAATTTTAAATTGTAATTTAGAATTATAATTTAGAATTATAATTAGGATTATAATTTAGAATTTTAATTTTGAATTTTAATTCTGAATTATAATTATAGAATAATAGTTTGATATTTATAATTATAGAATTATAATTTAATATTTATAATTAAAAAAATTTTAATTTAGTGATTGCAATTTAAAAATGTGTTATATATTTAAACGAATAAGTATAGAATGTAGCTTCACAGATCATTACTTGTTGATAATAAGACAAGGTTCCTTTTATGGGACACCACCACAAAGAACTTAATGTTAAATGGCACCGGTTTACTTTTTTTTCGACCCTTATTTATATATATATATTATCGTGATTTTCTTTTCTTTTGTACGATGATTAATTTTCGCCAATTTAATTATATCAAGTCTGCAAATAACTAAATTTTGCCTCTGACGTTTATCGCAGAGAATATACGTAGTCGTATTATATGTATAAAAGAGCAACACTGCTTTTTCTTTAATAAAAAAAATATTTTTGCCCTCGAAGAAACAGAAATTAATTAAAAAAATTTTAAATATTTTTTTTAAAAAAGAAAATAATTATAAATAAAAATTTTTTTTTGCGACAAAAAATTGTTCTTCAGCTAAAAATTATTTTTTAACTAAAAACTATTTATTTCTCTACTGAAAATTAGTTATATTTTTACTAAAGTTTTATTTTAATTTTGTAATGATAATTATTATTATTCTGCAAACATTTTTCTACTGAAAACTTAGTTATTTGTCCACTGACAATTAGTTCTTTATTTTTAAATAACAATTAATAATTTTTTACTACACAGAAAAAAAATTTTTTTTTATTCAAATAACGATACTAATTTGAACCAATAATTTTATTATTTAAAGTAAATTAAATCAAATAAAAATTATTTGTCTCAAGAAAATATTTATTTGAATCAAATAAAAATTATTTGTCTCAAGAAAATATTTATTTGAATCAAATAAAAATTATTTGATTTAAGGGAACATTTGTTTGAATTAAATGAAAATTAATTGGCTCAAATAAAAAATAATTTGACTCAAGTAAATATTTATTTGAATCGAATAAAAATTATTTGACTCAAGAAAATATTTAATTGATAATAGTCAAGTAATCGATAATTTGAATCAAATAATTTTAATTTCAGTGTAAAAATTATTTATTTTTAACTAATTCAAATTTAGTGAGTCAATAAATCATTTAATTGCACCAATTAAATTTTCTTTGATCGAAATAAATTCAGATGGATCACTAAAGAAATATATGAACCACTTCATACAGAATATCATTCAATAATTTTATTGAACGACTCAAAAAAGAAAAAAAGTACTAATTAAAAATTAGGCATAATTGGCAAAAGTAAAGAAAAAAAGAGAGGCGTGTGAAGGAGTTAACGTGCTTCTACTTTATAACGCGTTCATGTTTCTTCCACCATTAATCTTCGTTCGAATGCACGTGACAAGCTGGACACATCCGACTAATGTTCTTTCGTGTTTTTCGTATTACGTCCCGGCAATCAATCCTTTTCTCACTCATATACTTTGCGAATATATGATGACCAGTAGCTTCCTTTTTTCTTCCTTACATTAGTTATTTAATTATTTTCCCAACTTTGTATCGAAACTAAATTTTCAATCATTTTTTCTTGTTTATTATTTTTGATTTTCTTTTTTGTTCTTTTTTTTTTGAAAATTAGATTGAAATCTAGGGGGAAAAAAGATAAAAAGTATTGTCAATGTATAAATATAGTGAAACCATCAAAATTTTCGCATCGACCTCGACAACTTTGTAACGTTTTGCAAAGTT